AATGGGATCCTAAAGATATATGATCCACTACACTTAATAAAAAACAACATATATTGCATGCTGAGTACCTAATTCACAAAAAAATATGGTAATTATAAAAGAACAGAAGGTCAAACAAGCCCTTCTTTCACATTGAGCTTACCCATCTCTTTCTCCCATTTGAGTCCAAACATTTGCCGGCCAAAAGGTACCATGAGATTGTACCGCAAAACCTGTAGCTTTGCACAATTAGAACAAGTTACTAAGCAAATTATAGCTTTCGAACTTATTTTGCTTTCAGAGTGATTGATCACCTTACTATTGATGTCCTTCATCCGTGCCTTAAGAATCTCTGTATTTTGTAGCCATTGATAACCTTTTTGGTCTGAATTTTCAGTCCAGGCCTTCTTCAACGCTACTCTCCATTCTGCAATGTTAGACCTGATTTCCTTGTTCAGTTCAACCCACTCAGGAGCACATCCATTTCTTGAAAGGATTCTATAAAGAGTATCCTCTGCTGGATCTGCATGAGGATTGGTATTCAGGTTCAGAGGTTTTCCCTTTCCTGGAAGGTTTTCAAAGTGCCCTTCCTCCATTGAGTGCCATATTCTTTGTTCCACAACATTAACTATATCAGTCTCTGACCTGCAAATATAAAGCATACGGTAAGAGACGTTAAAAAAGTTAAGAGATTGAATAAAAATGTTAAAAGATCATAATAGGTCAACAGAAAGCTGATCAAATACTTCTCGTGTTGGATTTTTAACACCACGAAAGGATGAAATATAGCATTAAATAGAATCACTTGCATATTCAGATGAAAGCTTAGACAAATTTCACACTGCTATATGATGATCGTATATTTTAACATGGCAGTAACATTGTGGATCAACAACAAGCCGATCTAACTAAGGTCGTTTGGGACGGCTTTCTTAATGCTTCTTAAAATAGCTTTTTAGTACAAAAATCAAAACTTTTGAACTAGAAAGTTGCTTTAATAAGCAATAAGAAAGCCGTCCCAAACAAAACCTAAAACCTAAATTTATTACCCATTTATTGTTTGATTCTTCTCTCTTTTTCTTCCTTCATGATGTCACCTTCATTTCACCTATTTTGTTACTTCGGAAGCTTTTATTCAAATATGATGATTTCTCTAGGGGATACAAAAATTGAATGCTAAAGTTGTGATGGTATGATCGGGATAGCCCTGGTCTCTCCGCTCTTCAAGATTTCCCCAAATCTTCTTAAAAGCATTCACGAGTATCAAACCTTCTTCAATAATTAATGTTAAAGAAGTGTATATTCAAAAGGATGTGCCTAACTTCTCATTTTTAAAATCAGAAATTAATAATCTTCTCATGATCTTTCGTTGGTGAGTAAATTTCTTCAGGACATCCTAATATGGCAGGACCCTACAACTGTTAAACTTGCTAAATTTTTGTTGCTAGGGTCCTGATTCAAATCGATATTAGCCCCCTTAAAAAAAGATAATAAAATTTTAAATAGTGTTTAAATCTTAAAAAAGTAGTTGCTATTGAGAACCTGCCTACCTCTTGCTATCTTTGCTCTATGCATGGTCATGCTATTGAAAATTGCTTTATCCAACACAGTGAGCTCAGAAACCCTTCTAACGAGAAGAATGAACTGGTTAGGTCAAAATATTAAGGGCTCAACAATTTAAGTACTGAACCTCTAGATACTAATATTGAAGTTAATGTTGCCTTTCCCCCTCTTCAAAAGCATACTCAAATTGCTCTTGGCATAGGGTCGACCCCTAAATCAAAATATGCACAAAAAGAGGCAAAATCGACAAATTAAGTGATGGGCACATCGGCGTGGCGAATCACTTGAATGGTCAAACGACCTCCGATCGCTAAACAGACTGCGTCGTTGTGATCAAAGCGTCGAATTCGCCTGAGAGGAAACCTCTCGCAGTCAAATCGGACTAGATTGGTCAAAACTGACAACCAACACCCGAAATTGATGTGCGAAGTTGCCCAAATGACATCTGATCACGAAACGGAATGTGTTGTTGCGATTAGAACGTTGACAATACCCAAAGTAAGCAAAATCTTGCCCAATGGAATTTGTCCGATGAAATCGGCGTGAGTTTCAAAACAACATCGCATGAATTTTGAGATAAGACGTGTAAATCGAGGCGATTTTTTGGGATGACTGTTTCTGCTCACCTCCCAGTATAAATAATAATATAATAAACTATATATTATATATATTATTATTATTAGATATATATAATTTAGTTAATAAAAATATTAAATCAACTCGATTAAACTCTTACCTCGTATCCACATCAAGTCCTCAACAAATCCTGGATATCCCGCTGAATACCTTGGATTGCGACAATGCGATCACCTCCAGTGGATCCCGCTGCCCTCATCTCAAATAAAGGAGAGCCTCGTCGTTCAAACGAAAAAAAATGATGCTTCGTGGTTCTTCTCCTCGATCTTCTACTCATGATCCCGTATCTGCGGCACTTCACTGTCCTGATTCCTCAAGCTTCCTCCTTCAATCCCACACTTCTCCGTTCGATTTTAGAAGGCCAGTTGAACCTAAGTCGAACTCGACCACACAGCCTGCGACAAACGACCCAGATCCTCCTTTTCAGCTCCACACGGTCGGCCAACACCTAGACTTCAATCAGTTATCTTCACACAACCTCCAATCCAACAAGCCGCACAACCCACCAATCCCTCTACCCTTTCGATTGATCCTTTGACCCGTTCGCAAGCCAAGGTCGATTTCCTTCCTTCAACCCGTCGAACAGCCCAGATCTGTCGAAACCACTGTTCCGCTCATAAGCTCCAATCTGCTCCACTCGAACCCGCCAACATGCGTAACCCGACGCCTATGATGCACCGACACTCCTCAAAGAGGCATGCAATGTCCGACACGGATCCGACGCATGTCGGACATGCCGAAAACGTGTTCGTATAAAAAAATATTAAATATAAATTGGACACGTGTGTCCGACACACTTATCTTAAATATTTTATGAATTTTTTTAAATATAATTTCTTGCATTTAAAATTTTTACTTATTTAAAATATAAAAAACTAATTTTTTTTATTTTCTATCTACAACAAAAAATTAATTGCCCGCCTAATACCCCATTCATCGAGTATTATCATTTTCATTTCTCTTTGAAGGGTTACAACTTTGATTTCACAATCATATCCGATGTCACCTCAACATTAACTTCTAACGTCGTTACAACATCAACATTTTAAAACGATCTACATATCAAAGATTGATGCTATCTTTACATTGATGTTCGATGCTAGCAATTTTTACACCCACAACTTGACATCTCATCTTTATCCAATGCCTTCCCAACATCAACGACCAAAGCCCTCTCAACATCGATGATAAACGCCCTCTTAACATTGACACCCATTATTTACTGCATAACATCAATGTCTGACTCTCGACAGCATTGTCATCTCCTCTCTCAAAGATTGATAAATGACATCAATGTTTGATTCTCGGCATCCTAATATTAATCAGTTTAAGCATAAATTCTAGTTAAATGACTTATTATTTATAAATTATTTTTTAATATTATACTTATTCAATTTTTATACCCTATTTTTAAAATATAAAAACTTTAATATCATATCCAATCTGTGTCCATGTCCTATATTTTCAATAATTGACGTGTCTCGTGTCCATGTCGTGTAGTCGTGTCTGTGTCTGTGCATCATAGCCCGACACCCAGAATAGCGCCAGCTCCTGTATTCCCACTGTGCTAAATAATGTCACCGAATCTGCAACACTCATACAAACAAATAGAATGCGTCAACAAGCTTCTAAATAGAACGTTGCGCACATTCAAATAATGGTTGCTCGCACAGTTGATTAGTGTCAAATATTTTAAAAACCCCCATACATACCTTGCAACATGCATTAATCTATTCAAACATGTCATTCGGTATCACAAAATAAATTATGCTATAATAGTATAATGTATTTACATGCCGACATATTATACATGCATATCGTACGCTGCTGCATTAAATCTGTGACCAAAATGCAAAAATGTTGCATATGTCCACTATAATTACATACATATAACCATTATGTGACGCATACCCGCATGGGCCCCGGCAAGGGTGTTACAGACACATACATGACGTATGAGGATGATGCGCAAGTCAAAGAAATAAACTCAAGTTCGAGCTCGATTCCTTCTATGTGACTAGATAGAAGTCGATACGGATCGAACTATCAAATAAATATATGATCACAACGTCAATGTAGATATTTATTTTATACATTTATATTAAGCATTCAATGTCTACAGTAAAAAAAAAAATCACTAATTGAGACACAAAAACGACAACGAACTCAATCCTCTATTGACAAGTTGACAGAGACAACAGAGGTTCAACTAATAAAATAAAATTGCTCATGAAAACCGTGTGGACAAAAAAATTCAACCGGAGGGGAAGACAAACATAAAAAATACCCCCCAAACTCCCGAATGCCTATAAAAATTCAAAATTTCAAATATGCCAAAAATTTAAAATATTTAAAATTAAAATAAATCATCAAACAATTAAAGCAAAATCCATCCATCCTCTGCAATAATTTGTTGAGGTGGACAATTTGAAAATTACTTCAACTCAGAAAGAGCTAATGTCTGGCCGAGAATATCATTAGGATTTAGGAATAATTCTCAAACCGTCTCCTGCCAATAAGGATGTAGGACGTGACCTCTAACCGATGGTTTCGCCGCCAAATGGCACCACACCGATTGTTTCGTCGCTAAATGGCACCATAGGTAAACGATTATGACTGGGACCCTCTGAACTAGGTGGTTATGCCGCGCACCACTAAATTATAGTCATGGTCAGAGCCCGCATGCTCCCCAACGACGTCAAATCCTTGAGATATGAATTAATATAATATAATCAATAGAGCACAAAACCCTCTGTTAGCTAAGGTGGATTCAAATTTGTCCCCTTAGACAAATATTCACCCTAAATATACCAGGAACCCTTGGACGAAGCAAATCATGACTACCGACAAGGATCCTTCTGTCATATTAGGTCGACTACCTCTTCTAACTAAGTAGACTATGGACCATGATGGCATGGGACGGCAGAACCATAACATCTTGATCGGGCTTATCATCATTTCCCCCAACATCCTCTTTAAGTACAAAGTTGTGAAATTTTTAATTTTAAATATCAAATTATGTTACTACTATATGCCAGATACTTCATATATATTTGACGACTAGCCTTAATCAAAAGTTCTCTCTCGCTATCGTGAGGGATAATTAACTATAGGGGTTGCACTTATAGAAAATTTGAACTCAAATCATAAAGTCCTCACAAAATGAGAACGAAATCTCTGGATAGTTTCTTATTCAGAACTCAATCTACCTTCTAAAAATTTTCCTCAGAACATATTCGTTAAAACTCTCCTCAACAACCGAAAAAGAAAAAAGGGGATGCAGAGAGGCCGGGGTGCAAATTTCGGAGCCCACACATAGCTAAGAATGTCAAAAAGTCCCATTATCCTTCCAAAGGATTATCTATTACCATATTCATCTCAAAAAGTTCTAACACCTGTACTTTGTCTGAATCTGGCTCTTTTTTCCTCAAAGATTTTATAAGGAGAATAACCTAGATCAATCCAGCCTTGAAAATTCAAATTCATTCCACGAAACTAATTCTTATAATCTTGTCAGACTTGCCACAGACTCCCGGCTTCCTCCACCCTAAACTGAACTCAATCCTCACGCTGCGAATAGTTCAGCTTTTAACACATGCAACGAAGTTGATACTGCCACTTCTAATATTATTCCTCCTCTATCCACTAAGCTTGTCTTGGTGGATGAGAATGATTCTTTGATTGTTTTGGCTAATGTAAACTCAGTCCAATCTTGTTAGTTTTGGTCTATTCGCTTAAATTCTTCCTAATGCTCTAGATAGAAGTTCTGATGGTCTTTCCTCTTTCCTTCTAGGTTTGATCCTACCGTAACATTCCAATTACTCTTCATAAGTCTCATCCTCTTTAAGTATTTATTTGGAGTCATTCCCATTAGATTATAATAAAGTGATTCTTATTCAGTCTCAATTTTTTCTCTCCTTAAAACCATGCCTTGAACATCAACTTACAAGGAAGATGAAATAAATGTGCAAGCTTGTTATGAAGGGACCTCCAACATCCACTTCATAACCTTGCATACTCTAAGAGCGAATAAAAATTTGCAAACATGGGCAAATAAAAAGTGAACTATCAGACAACAATTCCCATGTAAACTTTACAAATGTTAAGGTCCAAATTTAACTTTAATGCAATTAACTGCCATGATTTTGGGGGTACACTATCACGCATTCAAGAAGAGGTGAAATGAAAAAGGAGACTAAAAAATTAGAGATATGGATTTATTTTGTTTGGAATTGCACAACCTCGTTGCTACCTATGCATCCAAAGTTGGGATTAATCTTTATCATAAGTCACCCCTAAGAAATATATGATTTTATAATTCTCCTAAGATGGTCTCCTACGCAACAAAAAAAAAACACTTGTAGAATACCCCATTGGGAGCTTGAAGTTGCATTTCACTTGAAGCATAATTGACAGTCACAGAAGAACATCCTCTCAAGCATGAACAAGGGTCTATGAATTGAACCGTTAATCTTCAGCACAATATGAACTGAAGATTTAAGAGCTACACGTGGAATTCATTTCTGCATGTAGGACACATGTAATTTTTTAGTGCAACGGAAGTTTCATTGATTGTGTTGTGAGAGCGACACGTGTCCTCTACCAATCCTTACCTTGTTTAGCTTTCATGCTATCCCCCCCTCCATCATTTGAACAATGGCAAGGGTCATTTTTTATACTCACATCAACACAAGCATGATTGACCAAGTCTATCTTTGCAATATGACCTAAGCCACTATTTATTTGGGACTAATTGTCAAGTTCAACAAAGCCAATTGGTTCAAGGGGAGTTATCCGCTACAAATCACTTAAGAAGCAACATCAAAGTCAAAGAGGCTGACACATCTAAGGAAAATCACTAACTAGTACCAGATCACCAATATTTGATGACTAGTACTCAATTTACTAATACTCGCTAGTCAAACGAGGCCACTTAGTTATGACAGCATCCAACAACTCGGTGGCATGAAAGTAGTCTCTCATATAGTCCATCTTATAGCATTGGCAGTGTGTATCAGTCACTATTACACAGCTTTGTGCAGATTTTCATATATAAATACTTCATCCAAACTTCCTTCATCGATTTACTTGAAGTGCTCCTCAGAATGTGTTCATATTATTCCCTGGGATGATCGATTGGGTTTATCTGCTTGAGTGTGGGCAGCCAAAAGTTGTTCTAAGGGATCAATCTATGATGCACCGACACTACTCCCCTAATGAGATATACAATATCCAACACACGTCGAACACGGACACGTGTCCGACACAATTCCAACACGTGTCACAAATGACAAAGACATGTTGAATTAAAATAAAATTTAAAGATAATCAAACACCCATATCCTAAATATTTTATTATAAGAAAATTTTTATATATAATTTCTTATTTTTAAAATATATTTTATTTAAATTATTATGAGATCTACATTGGTCTAATTCTTCCATTTATATTAGTGTTGCATCATTTACTATGGACATAGGATGGTAAATTTCATCTAGAATAAGTGACTAAACAGTATAAACTAGCGAAAAAGGTATATTGCATATTATAAATGTAGTTATTCAGTAGGACCAAAGGATTGCTAGTAATTCAACGAACTATAAGACTTATCATCTGTCGAGCGTTTTCTTTAGTAAAGTATGTATAGCTTTGTTTGCAACTTCACCTTGCCCATTCAACTGTGAATGGTTGACTGAAGCAAACTTCAGATTGATTGTATTCTCTTCAAAGAATTGGATTAGTCTTGATTTAGAGAATGATGAGACATTATGCATTATGATATGAAAAAAAAAAAAAATCAAAGCAAGTGAAAATATTAGTCCCTAAAAATTTGATGGCTCCTAAGGTAGCCACTTTATCCATCAATATGGTTTCAATCTACAAGGCGACATAGTTTGCTCAGACTAGCATAAACCTTTATCTTTATGTTGCCCTCAGGAGTGAATTAGCAAAGTCCTCCCCAAAATTTAAAAAAACAAGACTAAGGCTAATGATGTTGTTCATCTATTGAGTTGGCTAACAATTCAATAATGTCTACACTTCTAGTGAGCAACGAAGGGTTGGCCTATAATAGCCTCACCAAAGTATCCTTTTAGCCAACATGAATACCCGAGTGACTCTCGCACTCACCTTTATGGACTTCTTCAAGAACGTTGTTGCAATGATCCGATTGATGGCACTTTTGGCAGACTCTAGAGGAAAATCTGAGAAAGAGGTCTACTTAAGAAAAGAAATTTGCTTGCTTTTATCAATCTCTCCTTGCTTTGTAGTGATGACTTGTACTTTGCTTATTTCTAGGAAGTCAAAGATTGGGGTTAACAAGTATCTTTCATGCTCCACTTGCATGAGTTGGGTTCATCAAGAGATGAGGCCCATATAGTTTATCATATTTATCCAAGAGATAACCTAGTTGATTTCCCTACAAGGAATATGCTTAATGGTCAGCTTCTCGAATTTCCAAACTTCTATCTTGAATTTGGCAATGTGGTGTGACAGACTCTGAAATTAAGCTTCATTTGAAGCAGCTTATGTCATTCTGATAATGTTGCCATAAATTTTTAAAATTTCTTTCCCAACTATAATCTTTATGCTGCTCTTCTCAAAAGAAACTATTCAAAATAACGAGTTTTTTGCTTACTACTGATCATCCAAACGAACGCCGTCAGACGTGTTGATCTGATCAACCCCACAAATTAGATAGTTTTTGCTGACCTCAATACAGGAATATTAATCGAATCAATACAGACGGACAACAGGAGATCTAAAGCTATTCAATTTTCAAAATTGAAGAACTTGTTCCCCAATTTCCCAATTAGAAATTCCCCGCCAGGCATCACTGTCCCTTTATTACGACAATGTGATCGCTTTATGTAATTTACATGTTTTATTTTTCTTTCTTTCTAATATACCCGTATCTTAATCAATTCAAAATCTCAATAATTAAAAAAAAAAATTAAGAAACAATAGGAACAAGCAGCGCACCAAAGAATAATGGCGAATTTAAGATATACAGAAAAAGGGAAAGGAAACCTGATGGCGTTGCCTCGACCGCGCAATTCCGGGGGAAGTTTCCTTTCATTGATGGCATCGACTACCACTGATAAGCGGTAAGCGAGCTTCTTGTGCTGAGTCTGCGTAGAGGAAGACGTCGAATCCGACGCGGTGGTCGCCGCGTTAGACGAGGGATCGACCTCGTTCCAAAAGGAAGACCAAATCGAAAGGAGACGAACTCCGATGGGAAGAAGAGAAGGCAGACGCTGCGAATGATGAGCTACGAGCCCACCCGCCATGGAGGACATGGCAAGGAAGCACCGAGGCCTTCGCTGCGATGTCCGGATTGGGAAATTGAGGCCGATACTCCATGAGCCGCTTTCTAGTATGGAAGGGGCGTTGATGGAAGGCTGAGATCATTCCTCTAGGGGTGTCAATCCAATCCTTGATAGTCAAAATCTCACAATAAATATAATTAGGGGTGTCAATTTCGGGCCACAGGTCGGGTTCGGGTTGAACCCGAAACTGACACGGCATTATTCTGGTCAACTCGAACTGACGGGTCATTTTTCCAGATATGAATCCGACCCGCTTCGGTCCAGGTCAACCCGACACGACCCGAATGACCCGTTCCAACAAAAAATTGCTAGTTTTCGGGTCAAAATTGGTTTATCTCCTCTTTTTCGGGTCAAAGATGGGTCAAAATCGGGTCAATCTCGGGTTGTTAGGTCAAAATCGAGTTTTCGGATCAAAATAGGGTCAATTTCGGGTCAAAGGGTTAACCCAACCCCGACCCGTTTCGGGTTCGGGTTGACCATAGTCCAAAATTTTCGGGTCGGGTTCGAATTGTGTTTTTGGGTCGTGTCAAATATTGACACCCCTGTATACACCTTTCTTTTTGGCCTTTATGGGATCTTTGTTTTCTTGACAATATTAATTTTTTATAAGTAATTTGAAATATTACTAATACTTTGTTTGAGATGCTTTTTTATTATTTATGGAAACAATTTTTTAGTACAAAAATATTAATTTTTATACTAAAAATTTATTTTAAAAAGTACTAAGAAAGCCGTCCCAAACGAAGCCTAAGACTTTATTTAGGACAGCTTTCTTATTACTTTCTAAAATAATTTTTTATAACAAGAATTTAGATTTCATTTGAGATGATGTTTTTATTGTTTCTTAAATAAACTTTTAGTAAAAAAATTGTACTAAAAATTACTTTAAGAAGTAGTAAGAACCCGTATCAAACGAAGTCTTATATTTTAAAATAGTTCAAATGTCTAATGTCTGCATGTTCTGAAGAATTAATATATATTTTGGATGCTAATTGTATTTTGCTACTCATTATTTCAAAAATTAATGATAATAATAATAATAATGACATATAACACATTATGAGAAGCTCATTATTTTTTTCAATCAAATATTATCTACATAGAAAGAAATATGTAAAAAAATTATGAATTTGAGGGAAAAAAATTAATTAAGGTTGTCAAATCTTAATTAGAACAAGATTTAAAATGTATGGATCGAGATAAGTACAACACATAAATATATTACACAAATCTCAAAGAAGATCCTAAGATTTTAAAGCCAATCATAACACAATTTTTTTCAATATTATATACTCATTTAAAGATAATTTAACACTTAAAAATAAAATTAATTCACAAAATTATAGTTCCACATTTTAACAACCTCAACAAGCAAACCCTAATCCTAACTTCACTCACATTAGAAGTAAAAAAAAAAAAAGAGAGAAAGATAGAGAGATAAAAAATAAAATAAAATTAAATAAAATAGAGAGAGAGAGAGAGAAAGAGAGAGAAGATAGCTATCTCCAATCTCGCATTTTTACCAATATCAAATATATCAATCATTATCTTCATCATCAAAAGCGACGGCATTCCGGCGTGAGAGAATGATCACGCTTGGGGTCACGGCAATAGTCATAGACAAGTGAGCGGCGCTGAGCCCACTCCATGGCCGCGCGCTGAAGCCGGCTGAGCCCGAATCCCGCCGGAGAAGAGGGCGGCGGCCGGCAAGACGGTGGCGAGGCGGCGGTGCAGCCGCGAGCGATGAAGTGGGTGAAGCGGGCAACAAAGGGCTGGAAGCGGTAGTCGGCCCTGTACTTGCCGTCGTCCGTTGCCCATGAAGAAGCGTCCCAGATCGAACCGTACACCCACATTGGCCTCCGCGGGAACGTCCACGCGCTCCACTCCGCGTATCGTCGGATCGGCACGTCGTCCACAAAGAATCTGCGCATTGGATACCGAGTATGGACGCAACGTGTTTGTTAAAATGCCTCTTAGAGAAATATACATTTCGTACTTGTGGTTGAGATGAGGTAATGACATAGTTGATTGATTAGTTCTATATTATGCTTTTGGTAAAGTAAATCAAATGGATATAAAATTATTCTGATAAAAAATTTAAATCAGGATATCCCGATCCAATGCAGAAAGCTAGCAAAAGAAAACTTTTTTTTGGGTTTCAAACAAAATATTATGCTTGTTAGTGCACTTCGAGACTGATCTAAAACAAAAGGGGTTGTTAGGTTGCATGATTTAAAGATAAATTCATTATTTTTCCAAGTTTTTTAAGCCTGAATTTTCATAAATTCAGCGTTTGATTAGACTTCCAATATATATTACATATGTATTTATGTGAGTTTTTTATTAAATTCTCTTAAAATCCCTATCAAAAATTTTTTTTCAAGAAAATCTAACTCGAAGCAATTCAGACATGTTATTTCACCTGATTGACCCAAACCAGAGATCTTAGCTTTTAAGCTTTCCTTAAAGAAAGGGTGAAAAGCCCAAGCTTTACATCCAGGACTACTTGATGGGAAAACCTGACACAATTTATTGCACATATCTGCCTCGTGTACCTCTTGCTGTAAGTAATGAAGAGCAACAGAATTTGGGAGGAAAACGAGCTTTGCAGGAAAAAATGCTTAGTAGAGCAACCAAACAGCAGGATCACTCTAAGACTTTGTTTGGGACGGCTTTTTTTCTACTTTTTAAAGTGGTTTTTTAGTAAAAAATTAAATATTTTATACTAAGAAGCCGTTTTAAGAAGCAGTAAGAAAACCGTTTGGAAAAGTCACAAACGAAGCCTAAATCTTTGTTTTCACTCTTCACTTTTACTTTTTTTTTTCAAGGATTATGAGCCTAGAAATATATTAAGCAGAGATATAACAAAAGATATGTTTGTCTGAAATGAGGGTGCAGGCTGAGGAGTTGAAGCCCTTCATTCAACCTGCTAACTGTGGACTGGCCTTTTTACTGTTGCTGACTGTAATATGTGCCCATTTTCTTTGCCATTTCCTAAAGTGTGTTGCTATCATCTCAAAAAACAAAAAATGTACATAAAAACTTATTTGAACTTTTTATTTATAGGTGGACCAATTATATCTAGGAGAGTGTAAAGTTTTTATGTTGATTTTCTTTTTTGTTTGGGGGTGGGGTGGAGTTTAAATGTTATTGAATCATTAGTTTTCATCAAAGAGAGGTGGTTGCTTCTAACCTACCATCCTGTTTATTTTGTCTGCCCCATCTAATTAATCCAGAACATACTCTCATTAAAGGACAAGTACATAGTTTATTCTAAATCAATACATCATTGAATTAAGGTAATACTTACATGATCTCTCTCTGGTTCCATAGAATGGCATAGTTATGGAAGGCAGCCGTCGGATCAAACCATAGATGAAACTTCATCTCCCTTCCTATGATCCTCCCATCGCCGCTCCCTCGCACATACACATTCGTCTGCAGCGTATATGGCTCCCCTGGTTTAGTCCCCAGGAACTCCATATCCACCTCATCATGGAACCCAGGATGTGCTTCATTGTTAGAAAGCTAAGCAAAAGAAAGATCCATTCACTCTAGAGTCAATATAAATCATTTCAAAGCTTGTAAATTGTGAAAGGTTTTCGCATCTCACTCACATAGAATGCTGTGATAACTCCTGCCGTGTAACCCCTCTGAAGCTGGATTGAAGCAGCAAAGTACCCATTTCGAAATGCTCGAATCGACTTGAACCCGCTTCCTGATGATTGTTTGCAGAATGAAAACTAATGCAGAATCAATGATGAAGTAAATGGTTTGCAATGGCAGTGTGAAGTGTGTAGCACCTGAGTTCCTATCAAGCCAGATGGTTAGTGAAGATTGGTCACTGGAGACCCATTGGTGCTGAGGCCCCCAGAGATTAGTGAAGCCATGATAGAACCCCACTGGTCTTAACCTCCAGCTTGGGTAGTATCCTGGAGAGGGCTGAGCATTGCTGCAACAAGGCAGGGCAAGAAGAAAAGAGATGCAGAACAGGAGGAAGAGAGTCATGACAAGTGGAATTGATGATGCAAGAATGGTCACGGGTGTGCTTAAATGCAGAGAAATGGAGTAGAGAAAGGGGTATGCGTTGGTGTGCTGAAGGTCCCACCAAATAGAGGGGATTGATTGCTGGGCAACACAGCTGTTGGGAAGCAGACAAAGCAGGAAGAAGGCATCTTTTGTAGTGGTAAGCGCTGAAGTTGATTGCTTTTTTATCTGAGATTGGCCATTGATGTTGCCTTCCTTCCTTCGAGGGATTTTTTGTAGAAACTTTACGACGATGGGTTCATTAAACTATGTAAATGTACTGTATTTGCTATCAAAGATGTAAATGTGCTTTTGATTGTGAATTCAAAATAATCTATATTTTTTACATCAAGCTTTGTATAGTTACAGTAACAAATCTTAACCAAAGATAAATGCTTGTTCTTATATCACTTTTCTTTAGAAGTACAACTGTCGCTTTTGCAGAGAATTCCTGTAAGATTTCTCTAATGAAAGTTTATATGAATCTGTCGGGATAAAAAGGGTAGATTTTGAGAAGGATTTATTTCTATCAGTTATGATATCTGTCAAGTAGGTATGGATCTTGGTGGTGTGTTTCCTTTCTATTCAATTTAACTTTAATTTTTGCCCCAATCATTAGTTGGTAGCTTGTGGATTTGGATTTTCTCCATTTCTGATATTTTTTGTTGAAATGTGGAGTACTCAAATAAAGGAGCGATGTTGATAATACCTTTTAAAATATTTATGAACTAAGCTATTGACACCTATCATTTTTATTAAAAAAATTTGTGGTTCTTAGATATTTTTTTAAATTTAATAAAAAAAATTATTTGTTATGCTAAAATTTAGGTAATACATATATTTCTTTTCTTTTTAATTTCTCTCTCTCTCTTCTTTTATTATGTATAACAAACTACCTAATGCCCACCCCAAAAAAAAATTACAAGTTTAATTAATTTTGAATTTTGAATTTTGAATTTTGTTATTGTTAAACAGTTATTAAAATTGAAACATAATTAATAACTTTATTCTTTCAATAATATAAAAATAGATTATATTTACATATTATAATTCAAATTTTATTATAGTAAATTAAAATTTTCTTATTTTATTTTAAAATTAATACATTATGAGTTGAAAAACTTTCCCTGCTATATAACTATTATAAAAATTGTCTTTTGACAGAAGTTAAAAATTGTGAATGAAACCACAGTTGTATTTTCCATCTCATGATCCAATGTTCAGCAACAGGCAATGGAAATATGTCTTAACAATAATCAAAGCATATTTTATTTTACCCATGTATGAGCACATTTGAAGATAATATTAGAGAGAGTCGCCTTAGATGATTTGGTCACATAAAACGGCGGCCTTCCGATGACATGGTTAGGAAAGTAGAGATATTAGATTTTGACTTATGTTAAGAAAGATAGAGGTAGACCTTAAAATACTTCGTTAGAGAATATTAGAAATAATCTTTCCTTATTAGATTTAAACGAGAATTCGACTTTTAATATGACACATTTTGTTGTTGTTGTTGTTGTATATTATATATTTTTCAAATAATAAGATCAAAAAGATTTTTTTTTTTAACCGTTGGTCTATAAAAAATATTAAGAAAATATTTAAAAATTTTAATCTGTGCCTCTATTAGAAATAATTTCTACCTTGGCTAGTTGGCTATGATGTAAACTACCTTCTTGCATGATGAGATCCATATTTATTTGTTTTCTCAAAATTACTTTCTATAAACTCAAGAAGCAAACGAGACAGATCATGTCCTTGAATTCTATAGTTAATTCATATTCCCAAAATGTTTTATAGCTAATAACGGTATTGTTGCAACTCTCCCATCAAACGATTTAAATTTGATTTCATTGCAACGGTCATCTGCAACGGCTAGTTACTATTCCAAAATTTTGTCCATCCATTTCTAGTGTTTTTTAACGGCTGGGCTCAGACAATTAGATTAATTTCTGAAAAAAGAAAAAAAAAATTATGATTTGATGGGAGACATAGAGACATGATTTTTTGACATTATCTACATAAATGACAAAAATTTATGATTATAAGATTTGATGAGTTGAATTTATCATATTTTTTTAAAGAAAGGGGTCCAAAATTATTGATACTTATATTTTTTATTTATTTTGAGAGTTTTTGCATACTTAAGAGATTAGATAAAATTTTAGGCTAAATTTATAAGTTGGGTTCCTTAATTTGGTAGCTAGATGTATGAAAAGAAATAGAGCAATTATTAGAGATTTTGTATGTGAATAAGTTTAGGTTGTATGTCGGTGTGGAAAGAATGCCTTGCTCAGTGTGTGAGATGAAAAGTAAATTATAGTTGCTAACTTATATTTGATCTAAATTGTGATATGCAACTGGCTGCGAGAGGTGATCAAAGTTTAAGTTTAGGTAGTTGTAATAATATGTGTAAAAATAAGTAAATGCTAGTTATCTGCTGATGTTGGATGAGATTAATTGATTTGTACATGATTGTGAGATAACGGGCTTTCTTTTAAATATTGTGATTGGTGCTATCCTCTACTGAATCACGCGATTTACTAATTGAGAATTATGAGGAGATAATTATTGTGCTGACGGGTAAAGAGTAACGACTATGTTATTGAGAAAACGTTTACTGGTTTACTAATTACTAAAAAAACACTACGAAAGCTAGAACTCCTTATTTGTTTTCACACATATTATTACAAAAGTAATAACAACTAGCTATTACCCAATTATTTGCCCATATTTATTTATAATGCTTATATTAATATCATGCTTGCAATAAAATGCCAAAATTACTCAAAAATGAGAGAGGGAGGGGGAGAGAGAGAGAGAGAGAGAGAGAGAGAGAGAGAGTAA